CCTGGCTCTTCCACCTCCTCAGATGTGGATTTAGTCCTCTAACTTCCCAGTGTCTTCTGTTCCCATATGAAACATGGGGAAAATGCTAGAGCATCTCCTGCATGGGGACATCGTGAAGATCAAAAGGATCAGTGTGTGCCCAGAGCCTGGGAGGCAGTGAATGCTATGTGCATGTTCCTGAGGAGACACGTGTGTCTTAGATGCTCCGCAGATGTCAGGCACTGTGCTCAGTGCATGATGGATTCTTTCAGTCCTAGGAGGTCTGTGTCATCCCCAGCCCCCTGGAAATTGAGGTGGAGAGAGATGAGCGGAGGAGGGAAGAATCACACCTGCTGACCCTCTGCACCTTGGTAGAGACGGTGCGGAAGGATGAGGCCAGGGGGTGCAGAACACCCTGTGGATCTCCCATCCCCATGTCAGCCCCTGGTCTCTTAAAGTCTATTGGGTTGTTTTCAATGAGCTGAGACACCAGAGCTCTGTGAGTCGATCGTGTTGCTTGGTGACTAATTCAGAGAATGTTTAGGGACACACATGCGGGATCTGTCTTTTTACAGAAGGGAAAATGAGACATTGCTAAAGCAAGACAAGAAACCTGGTCCTTCCCCCTCCATGCCCAGAGCTCCTACACAAACAGCAAGAGCAAAGGCTTATCTACAAGTGGATAGTTTTAAAAACCTAGCAACCCACTCTCAGCTCTCAGTAACAGGATACAGGGGCTGGGACTCAGGAGACTGAACAGAAAACCATCCCCAAGTGTGAACATTAGAGAACTCGGGAAAGACAGACCCAGACCCAGGTGCTTGTGTAAGAGCAGCCTGGGTCATGTAACTGCCCCGGGAGCCTTACTGTGCTTAGCATATTGCTACCTGATTGAAATTGGCCCTAAACATCCCCAAGGTTGAATGGGAATGGAGGACATTATTGTATTTCATTATTTTCTAGAACACAAATGGATTCTAGCAACAGCTTCGAGGTGAAGCAACAGCAGAGCAATTAGAGTTTTGGAGCTCACATGCAAACATTTGAATGTGCAATCATTGTAATAAGTACATTAAAATAAAATAAGTCAAAGGGTTGCATGTGCATAAATAACCCAAGGTGAGAGAACTGGATTGGTTAAGAATGAAGGGACATGGCGAGTCAGTCATCATGGAGAGTAATAACCCTTCTGTACTCCAGGTGGAAAACACCAGGAAAGAGAGAGCTGAGAACTAGGGTTTAACGTAGAGTTACCAAGTCTGGGTTTTTTGCTGATTTTTCCTTCTGCTTTGAGTGACAGGCGTGTTCCAGAAGTTTCACATACATTCACCCTCACCGAAATACCCATGAGGTAAATATTACCACTGAGTTTCCCAAAAGATTATGTGAAGTGCCAGAGTATAAAGGTTAGTGGATGCTGGCCATCTTACATGGATTGGCTGGAAACTTCTCGTATTTGGCTGTGTATAGGGTACAGGACAGGTTTGGATTGCTGGGAGGAGGAGCAGTCAAGTTAGCTCCTGTATTAATTGAGATAAGCTAGACTTTGCTGCAGTAACAGAGCCATTCAGTGACTTTCAGTAGTAGGAGTTGATTTTGCTTATTGGCTTTGGTGACATCTGCTCCACACCAATGTCCCTCAGGAAGGCAGGACCTTCACCATCAGGAGTGAGTAAGGCTGCCCTGTCAGCTTTCTGTCACTGTAACAAAATACCTGAGATAAACAATTTAAAGGAGGAAAGGCTTATTTGGGCTCATGGTTTCAGAGGTGTCAGTCCATGGTTGGTCGAGACAAAGAGATGCCCAATATCCCCCCCGAGGGCACACCTTCAGTGATCTAACTTCCTTCTCCTGGCTCCACCTCCTAAAAGTTCTACCACCTCCCACCACCCAGCAGTGCCACAGGCTGGTGAACAAGCCTTTGGCATCTGGACCTGAGGGCTGAATACTATGCTAGGGGTACATGATATTGCACCTTGTGCCCTGGCATCTGCTGTAGGCCATGGCTGGGCAAGTAGATTGTGTGTGCTTAGAAAGAAGGGAGCTGAATGTTTGGGAAGACTTGTAATTGAACACCATCCCTGCTCCTTCCAGCTCTATCTGTACACAGGGCTAATTTGCATAGAGGTAGATTCCCTTCCACTCCCCACATGGAGAAAGAGCCAACTGCCCCTTGGTTACCTCTAAAACAGCAGGGGCTCTGTAAAACTAGCAAGTTTTAGAACTAGACAGGTGCATATTCACGGCCTCCTCTAGATGTCTTTGGTCGAACTGCTTAACATCCCCAACCTCTTTTCTGTCCCCCTTCTGTGTGATGGAAGAACAGTAGTAATTTCCTTGAAATTTATTGCCGGAGTTAAGGAAGACGGTGTATTAAGGGCTCAGCACAGTGTCTGGCACATGGTGCATGCTGGAGAAGTAATAGCAACAAGTGCTGGCTGTGTGCTCTGCAGAAATTCCAGGGCAATGGTTGGTGCCCATGGAGTACTGCGTGGTGCCTAGCTGGTGGTAAGCGCTCAGGAAATGAATCTGAGAGGCTACTTGTGACTTGGAGTCTTCAAGCATCACTGGATAAAAAGGAGGGGAAAAGAATATCATCAGGGTGTCTTTAGCATCTAGGAACAGAAAGTCCTCTGGGCAACCTCCTAGAGATATCACATATCTCTGTGGGGGGGTTAGAAAGACCAGAATGGGCAGGTCTTCTGATTCACGGGTCAGGGTGGGTGGTAGGCACTCTGAATCCATGGTTCCCTTCCACTGATTTGACCAACCATGATTGAAAATCTTAGGAAGAAAACTGTGTACTGAACATTTTTCATTTCATTATTCCCTAAACAAACAGCTTATGAGGTATAATTAATCTAGAGATGATTTCAAGTACACAAGATATAAGGATGTAGGTAAGTTATATGCAAAACTGATGGCATTTTATATGAGGGACTTGAGTCCCTGTGGATATTGCTGTCTCCAGGGGTCCTGGATCAAGTCTCCTGTGGATTCTAAGGGACAGCTATAATCGCAGCTCAGCTACCTGAAGACCCCATGAGGACTCAGCCTCACTTCTTGGTTCTTTCCCTTTTTCTGCCTTGTGGCCTCCCGGCTCCTGCCCCTCTCCTTGCTCTAGGGTGGTCCCTGCTTACTGTCTGTCCACTTTGACTCCATGACAACCACAACACAGTAGTCCCCTGGCCACCTTGAGATGGCTGAGGTGGGGAACCACGGGCTCATAGTAAACCCATTTAGCTGGGTGGGAGTGGGTGGGGAAAGGACCACGTCTTACAGTACGAAGTAAAGCTACAGTGCTTGTGGGGACAGATTGATGATGGAATATGTGCTCTGTGGCTTCTTTGAAGTTGATGCTGTACCTGAAAACCCAGAGCATGGTGTCTGTGGTCTGCTGGTCTCACCAGGTTACCGTGGGCAAGTCATTTGTTAGAAGATACTTAGTTCTCCATCTGTAAAATAAGCATAATAATAACACCTAATTCTTAGGGCCACCACAAGGTATCTAAGAGTTACTTGTTATTCTCCTGGCTTTCACCAAACAGGAGAAATTGGTGCTTAATGCCAGAGAAGATGGGCAAAGGCTAGAAGGGGGCAGCCACATCTGAGCCAAATGAGGACCATAAGAAAAGAACAACTGAACCAGCTCCAGCAGATGTGGGCCTTTTATACACACATCTTACAGAGCAGAGGTCTGCATACTTTTTCTAAAGGGCCACATAGAAATAGTTTATGCTTCATAGGCCAGACAGCCAGTCTTTATCACAATTACTCATTCTGTAGTTGTAGCAGGAAACAGCCATAGACAATACATAAGCAATCAGGTATGGTTGTGTTTCAATAAAACTTTATTTATAGAAACAAAGCATGGGCAACATTTGGGCCGTGGGCTGTAGTTTGCTGACCTGCTGGAGTGGCAGCCTTGCTGACTGTTGGAGGCTCTCTGGGGCCTGCTCATTCCCCCTATTCTTCCTTGGGAACTGTTAAGAGACATATCTCAGCGCCTTTGAAAAAGGAAATAAAGCATTGCTACTCATCACCAATGCACCTCCTCAGCAACAGGTCAGATTTCTGGAGCCAGCTGTGTTCTCTGTGCCTTGAGTCCCCTCTAGGAGTGTGCTATGGGATGGTGGATACCTTTCAGGTTAAAGGTGTGGGAAAGAGGTCTAAGCTAAAGCAGTATGTTTCAGAAATGAATCAGGGCATTTGATCTGAACTCAAAATGATCAGGACCTGGCTCCCTAGGCTAGAGCTGGATGTGGGGTTCTACCCTTCTGGAAAGCTTCAAGCCATGTGTTGTCTCCAGTGATGTCTGTCCTTTCTCTTGACCCCAGGTGACTTAATAAGTTTTATTCCAAGTCCCAACATCAAGAGCTAAAGCTCCAACACCCAAGAGTGTCACAGGTTGGCGCCCTCCTGGGACTCACTGTGGGCTTCATTCTGTACAGGCTGCCTCCTTCCTCCCCTGAAAAAGAACAAAACCAGTGCTTTCTTTGCTACAGAACTGTCAATGTCTCAAATCCGGTTTCTCTTACAGGCACAGATATATGAGCATGCCCTAAAGGCAATGGGATGGATATAATGCCCTACCCATATTTCCTCCCTTTATAACTTCATTATGTCATTTCCAGGCCCTCAATAAGCCATCACAGCTCTTTCTGCTAGAATTCCAACAGGAATCTGGCACAAAGTGTTTGCTACCCAATGGCAGAGATGCCTGGTGAAGGAAGGAAGCAGACACGATGCCTTGAGAATCACAGTAAAAGCACTGGTCATTGAGAGCTTGGGAAAAATCTTAGTTCCTAGTGGAAACTTCTCAGGTGTCCAGATGGGGAAACAAGGGTCCAGAGAGAAAAATCTTTCCAGAATTTAAGCCAATAGCAAAGGCAGGATGGGAAGCTTCAGCTCAGACTTCCAAAGCTATGTGCCCTCCACCCCTGCCCGCAAAGGGCCACCTACTTACTTAGCACGGTGGCTCAGTCCGGTTTCTCTTCTGTGTTTTCCCCTGTGCTCTCCAGGATGGCTACTTCTCTCACCGACCCAAAGAGAAAGTGCGCACAGACAGCAACAATGAGAACTCCGTCCCCAAGGGGTTTGAGAATGTTGACAACAGCAACTTTGCACCCAGAACTCAAAAGCAGATGCACCAGCCAGAGGCAGCAAAGAAGCCCCCAAGTGGACAGAAGCACCGTTTGCAGAGGAAGCTAGAGCCACAGGACAAAGGGCAGGGACACGCGGTCTTGGGGAAGGGCCCCAGCCCGGCGGCGCTGCCTCCTGGCGAGAAGGCTGCCGCCAACAGCAGCCGCGGGAAGGGTGCTCCCAGGCAGCCCCACTCCAGGAAGAGCGGCAGTAGCTCTCCCGAGACCAAGTACGAGCAGCCACCCAAGTGCGATATCGCGGGCAAGGAGGCCACCTCTGCCCTGTCCCGCTCCAAGTCCCAGCACTGCCGCCAGGAGATCGGGGAGACCTACTGCCGACACAAGCTGGGGCTGCTGATGCCTGAGAAGGTGACTCGCTCCTGCCCCCTCGAGGGTAAGCTCTAGCCCCGCTTCCTCTCCCCACCTAGCCCCACTCTGGCCCATGTTCAGATGTCCTAAAAGATCAAAGACAGAGAACAGTTGCTCTACATCTCCAATCCCAGATCGAGACACTAGATCTGATTTGTTGGGAGGACTCTGCAAGTTCTCATGAGATTCCTGTAAGAAAAGCTTCACATTAACTTTTGTTAGTGCGTTGCTTTATGGTACAGGATAAAATTACAATGAAATCTGGGCTCATGTGAAAGTTGCAGGAGTGAAGCGGCTATATTGATAGGGTTTGGCCTCTCTCCCAGCAGAGGATCAGGATTAGAACTGACATGAATGAAACTGGATAGGATTGGAAAGGTTTCCAGTAGGGTGCATGGGGCAGGCTCCGTAAGAACAGCCTTCCCTGTTTTCCCCTTCCTTCTTCCTCCCTCCTTTCCTCTCGTATTTCCTTCCTATATCTTTGCTTATTTTTGTCCTTTCTTTACTTCTTTCCTTCCTTATTCCCATCCTTCCTCCCCCCTGTCCTGTGTGTAGATAACCCAATATGAATCGGATCTCTTGCTGAGTTGCAGGGCACGGTCAGAGCTCAGTGGAGGATTCATGGGGTGGTGGGGGGTGTAGAGGGCCCCTAGAAGATGGGACGAGTCTTCCACACGTGAACATCACATGTATTTATCTCCCATCTAAAACCATGCCATGCCATGGCGACCTTGGTGTGACCCTGGCCTTCCCTGGAGCCCGTGGGAGGGAAGATGAGCTGCCACAGGTGCGGAGTGTCACCGTGGGCCAGGCACTTCACAGGTCAGTGCACATCCTCATCCTCACCTGTGAGGTCGGCATAGAGATCAGAGGCCTAAGTATTTTCAAACGAGCCGTGTAAAAACAGTTCTCCAAGCTCACATCATTTGTAAGTAACCTTAGGTTACACACTGAGACATCCTGAGAGACAAATGTGCTAGCCTGGATTAAGTCTTATTTTCCAGAGATCCCTCCTTCCTTCCTAAATGCACAGATGTCAGCAGAAAATGTCTGCCTAACCATCCCAGAGTAGGAAGGACCTTCATGTGCTGTCATCCGGCTGTGTTATCAGCCCTTAGTCACTTGTTTAATGCATGTACCTGATGTCCCCTCCCCATCACTGGCTTACTATAAGTTGACCTCCAGAGAGCTGGTGAGTTGTATTTCTCCTTAGAGAGCCCCTTCTCAGTTTTTTTGATTGTTTTTGTTTTTGTTTTTTTGGTACCAGGGATCGAACTCGGGACCTTGCACTTGCAAGGCAGGTGCCAGAACCACTGAGCTAAATCCCACCCCCTCCCCGCTTCTCAGTTTGTAATCATTTTCCCAGTGGTTTTCTCCACAGAGAGGGCTTTTAGCACCCAAAAGGCACTTTTCTACAAAGAAGAGAGTGGGTGCCACTAGGGACAGAAAAGGATGCATTTGGAATGAAGGGACCTGTATTTTGGTTGAGGTTCAGCTGCCCACTGATGGGAAAGTCATTTCCCCTCTCTGATCATGGCTTCCTCATTCATCCAGGGAGTAGCAGGCACTAAGTACTCAGGGCATCTTTCTACGTGGCTTTCCTTCGGGGCCTACTTCACAGTTAGCTCCTGGTCCCCTTCCACTGCCATCAAGCCCCAATGCAAGACATAGCAGGTCCTCCTGTCCCTCCACAGAGCAGCCAGAGGTTCAGAATGCCTCCTTGTTGTTTCTAAATTCAAAGATCAAAAATGTTTTGCTTTGCTCCTAAGAGAGAAGAAAAGATTCCAGATTATCACTGAAAAGAAGAGATGGCCCAGAGGTCCTAGGGAATGGGGAGAAGGGGACATAGACCTGGATGGCGGGTGGAGGCCAGCAAGTGGGGCAAGAAGGAATCCCCCGCGGTGCTGGGCCTCCTCAACATCCAGACAAAGGTCAGAAAGTACAGTAAGCCAACCACAAAACGGGGGGCTTTCACTCTTCCCCCAGGCCTGGGCATTCCGAAAGCAGGCGAGACCTTGCCCACTGACTCCCTGAAACAGCAGATACTGGGCCCTCTGTCTCTCTGGGTACAGAAGACATCTGTCCATGGGTGCATAGCGAACAAGGCTCCCTGGGAGAAGTAGACACAAAGATTCACTATGGAAGTATTTGTTCACTTGCTTCACTGGGAGAATGGCAGTATGAACCCTATTTAGGAGAAGAGACTTACGCAAGATCTCCCAGTTCGTTGGACACTTCCTCATTTCAAACACAATCCTCCTTTTATCCATGTGTTCCCCATTCATGGATTCAACAAACTGTATATTGAAAATATTTAAAATATTTTTCTCATCTGTACTAGAGATAGGTTTTGTTTATTATTCTCTAAGCAATACAGCAGTATTCACATTGTATAAGGTATTATAAGTAGTCTGGAGATGATTTAAAGTGTACAAGAGAATGTACATAGGTTATATGCAAATACTACATTCTTTTATACAAGGTACTTGGTCATTTGTGGATTTTGGTGTCCTCGGGGCATCCTGGGACCAACCATCCATGACATAGGGACCCTTGTCTGTGCCTCTGTGTTTACCACTAGTCATGGGCTGGGAGGTCTGGATCAGACAGGTGCCAGCCACACACCAAGTGACTAGAGAGAGAGAGTTAGAGGGACACACATCAAACCCTTCTCCTGTCCCCTCTTCAGGGACAGTGCACCAGGGGTCAACTTTAACATTTTAATTAAGCTCATCTCTAATTTTGAAGTAGTGCCTGGCAGAGAAGATTCAGAGGCCTGAGTTGAATGTCCGTCCGAGAAAATGACAGTGGGCTCCCACTATGTTCTGCAAAGGGCCAAAGAGTCAACATTTGAGTCTTTGTGAGCCATACAGTCCCTGCCACCACTCCGTCCTGAACTGGGTTGTTGTAGCAGAACCACAAACACAAAAACATTTGCTTAGGTTCTGATAAAACTTAATTTTCAAATGTACCCATGGGTCAGACTTGGCCCTGGAATCCATAGTTCGCTTCCTCCTGTTAAATACCAGTACTGTATACTCATGCTCCTGAATTTGTAATGGAGTGACATCCAGATAAATCTATCCTAATGCCATTAAGCTGGAAATGCACCTTATAGATCTAACCTATCAAGCATCAACACTTAGCCTGGCCTGAATTCACCATGCTCAAAACACTCACAGTAGCCCAGAGTTGGGCAAATTCATCTAATGCAGCCTGCTTTATAACAACCTTTGGACAGCTCATGTCATTGATTGAATATTGAACTGAAACTGAAGAACAAGATGATCATACAAACTCATCTTTGCACCGTCATCGAGTTAAAAAATCTGAAGTCAAAGCACCCTAAGGCAGGGACCATCTGTAGGAGCACATGGACCACCATATCTTATTGCCCTGAATCCTCACGTGAGCCTGACAAAGTGAGTCTGTTAGGAGCCCATTTTGCTCCATGAGCCTAGGTCAGTGGTGGCAACCCTATGGCACACATAGCACAGCAGGCTGCTTGTATCATCGAAAGCTCTTAAAGGTTTGCCATGGTTGAGCCGGTATTAGAACTCAGGTTATGGAGCCTGAATCCTCACAAGTCTGTTTCTCTTCTGGAGGAAGAGGCTTAGCTTAACTCAAGTTATCAAGCCCCTGGAAGTTGCTCTGCCTGTACCCTGTGCCTGCTCTGTCCTCAGTATGGTTTTAAGGAGGGAAGGGAGGGCATTAGCAGGGGAGCAAGGGTGCCAATGTTGACAGCAGTTAGGAGCATGGCTGTGAAGCTGGGCTCCCTGAATTCAAGTCCCAGATCTCCCTTGCATAAGCTGTTGGACTCCGGGCAAGTCACTTGACCTCTCTATGCCTTGGTGTCTCCACTTGTAAAGGGAAGGTAAACACGATCACACGTTCTCAGAGGGTTTGTGAGGGCTGAGGACTCAGTTAAGAACCGTACCAGGCCAGTGATGTGTTTTACATATATATCTCCTGCAAGTCCTGCTCTGCAACTGTCCACAGAATAAAAAATCAAAATATTATCACCATGAACCAGAATTTGCCACCGGATACGCTGAGATCGCTCCCGTGTGGTTTGCGGCGAACGTCTGCTGGGGCTGCCCTGGGGCGTCTGATGCCTGGGCCAAGGTGCCAGGACCTCAGGGACCTCTGAGCTGGTTAAGAAGGCTGGCATTTAAGAAGCGTTGCACACCCAGCCCCAGCAATGCTTTAGTTTGCTGCACCACAGCTTCCCCCTTTTGCAATAAATTTACTGTGAATAGACTAATTGCAAAATAACCCTAATTGGGTAGTTATCAATGAACAACTTCCCGTGGAACAAAACGGCTTGCAATTAATAGCATTTAAGCCATGAACTATTCTTCTGCAGAAAGCTAAGATGTAATTACACCCCATAGGGAGATTGTGTTCCCTTTCTGGAAACCACGACACCCGGAATTCCCTCTGCTTAGGGGGGATTTGAGCTTCAGCCCAGTGGTCCTTTTATTGCCTGTGAAGTGAGGAAGTGGAGGCAGGATGGAGGGAAATTTAATATATGAGTAAATCCACCACTGCACATGTGTCCCACACAGAGAGGGACGCGTGGTGTCTGTCATTTTGCTTAGCTCAGCATCTGTCACCCAAACTTCAGCCCGGAGTGTGCTAGAGGTAGTATGCAAATAAGGAGACAGTCCCTCGGGTCTGACAGTCTGCACATTGCAGAGCAAACCGATTTTTCACACTGTGACTTTTGAGAAAGGTGTCTGTACCGGCCCTCCTGGAACCACCTGCCCCCCGATCCATTCCGACTCAGCCAAGAGGTGGAGTGTACAAGCCCAGAACACGACTTGCTTTCTGTGAGACACTCTTAGCCCTCGTGACTCTCCTTCATTCTCTAGCTCCCGGAGAAAGCAATTTGGAAGGAGGTGAAAGGAAGCTATGATGAGGCCTGTCTTCAGAAGGGGAGGAGGGACCCACAGACTGTCCACTAACATCCACCCACAGGCAGAGTCACTGGAGGATTTTCTAAGGAGGCTTTGTCCTTTCAGG